ACACACACGCACACAGTAAATGCCAGTGTATTTGTTTTTTGATTGAATATTTCGCTTGAGAGCCGGTTGTCGTACGGAAAACAACGCGTAACACGGAATATTTATACACAACGCAAACAGTGATTATGGTCGATCGAGTAAGTGTTCAGCACTGACGTTTCGCCTCATGTCTTATGATCCTTCTTCAAGTTAGATTCAAGTTAGGGTTGGCTTTTGAAGTCGTTCGTGTGTTCAGAGTTAAACGGTGTTTTTTCTACGTTACATAAACAGCGCTGTTGCTGTGACCCCTGTTCCTTTTTCTAAGCCCTTTTTTGTAGTTGATGTTGCACTTTGCACTTTCCTCTAATGGAAGTTTCTTCGTGCAAACAGCGGTGGAAATTTCAACTCGTTCCAAAGGTTAAGCGCTTCGAATTTAACACCTGGTCGTAGTTGCTACGTTGAACGCTCACAGTAGATGGGCTCAAAGATAGTATCAGACCGAAAAGCATTTTTAAGCCATATTTTTAAAAGTGAAGAATCTTCATCCCGCCCTTCGACCGGTGTCAGTGGTAAGCGTTAAGCGTTCGATTCAGCTACGCCGTGAAACTTCATCAAGTCAGACAGACAGACAGACAGACAGACAGACAGACAGACAGACAGACAGACAGACAGACAGACAGACAGACAGACAGAGAGAGAGCCCGACAGAGAGACAGACAGACAGTAAACTTAGAACTTTGGAAGCTTGGTAGTGTACAATGTGAACAAAGGAAAGTAAACGAAAAACAAACAACGTAGATAAAACAGACAGGCAGCACATTTGTTCATAGTCTCTACAAACACATTTTGATAGTTTGTTTTCGAATCATAAAAATCGGTTTTTAGTTTTGAATATAGTGCTTGCGCATCTCTCGAACAAACAACTGAACACGAAGCATACTATAGTTTTGTACGTCACAAAATGTTGCGTCGTAACTCTCTTTTTATAAAATTTTATTTGTCTTAGCTTTAACTATATTGCTGTTAATTTATATTCGCATAACCGTCATGGAATCCTGTGAAAACCGTTTCTTACTCCTTACAAAATCAAGCTCCATAAATGATGTTCCCAAGGTCAGGGCAGAAACGGGCTGTCATGCAACAGTGGTGTTCACGCAGTCACTCAGCAACAGCAAAAG